AGGTGTGTGTGTGTGTAAGGGTGCGTGTGTGTAAGTGTGTGTGTGTGTGTGTTGTGTAGGGTGTGTGTGTGTGTGTGTGTGTGTGTGTGTGTGTGTGTGTGTGTAAGTGGTGTGTGTGTGTAAGGTGTGTGTGTGTAAGTGTGTGTGTGTGTGTAAGTGTGTGTGTGTGTGTGTGTGTGTGTGTGTAAGGGTGTGTGTGTGTAAGGGTGCGTGTGTGTAAGTGTGTGTGTGTGTAAGTGTGTGTGTGTAGGGGGTGTGTGTTTCTCTCGGGGAGAAAGACAAAAGTTTAAAGAACGACGACGGGAGCAGCTCTGTGTTTCATTATTTCTAAGATTTCTTCTCAAAATGAAACTCTAAATCAAGTCATTTTTATTTTTGTAGAACATTTAGATCAGGGGTTGGGAACGTACGGCTCACGAGCCAGGTGTGGCTCTTTTGATGACTGCATCTGGCTCGCAGATAAAACATCAAATCTTCTCCCTTGTTTTAGTCGGCGTTTACACACAGACGGGATTTTAAGCAACGAATATTTCCCTCCGTTTTCTAAAATAACATCGAGCGTCAGAACGACACGAGCCTCTGGGCGCAGCTGGACCAGACTCAAACCTGGAGCTTTTATTTCATTACAGTTGTAGTTTTTACTCAAAAATACCTTGAAAAACATGCGTTAGTGAGCGGCTCGCCTCTCCACAGATCTGTTACAGAAGTGATAAAATCACTGACCTCTGAGTCGTTCATCTGCTCATGGATCTGAAACATCAGCTGTGTGAAGGAAACACATGAAAAGTGTTTGAGCAGAACAAACAGATGAGCTGAAGCTGAAGCTGAAGCTGAAGCTGAAGCTGAAGCTGAAGCTGAAGGTGAAGCTGAAGCTGAAGCTGAAGCTGAAGCTGAAGCTGAAGCTGAAGCTGAAGGTGAAGCTGAAGCTGAAGGTGAAGCTGAAGCTGAAGCTGAAGCTGAAGCTGAAGCTGAAGGTGAAGCTGAAGCTGAAGCTGAAGCTGAAGCTGAAGCTGAAGGTGAAGCTGAAGGTGAAGGTGAAGCTGAAGCTGAAGCTGAAGCTGAAGGTGAAGCTGAAGGTGAAGTGGGGAGTGGAGTCTGGAGCCTGAGAAGAACTTTCCCTGGAAACAACACGTGCGCAGACGAACACTCAGAAGAACATAACGAACCAAACGGGATTCGCGCTTCTGTCCAGATCCTGCTCCACCTCAGAACCAGCCGCGGTCGAGCGCAGAGGACGGAGCGGCCCGGACCTGTGGTCCACAGAACATTCTCACTTTCCCCGCACAGAACCTGCGCAGACGACGACACCGAAGCACTCGGACCCGGTCCTTCGCGCTGGTCTTACTCGCCCCCGTCTGGAACCAGGACACGGAGGATGGAGCCTCCGGACCATCTGACCAACACTGGACCTCCAGCTGTGATGCTCCTGTGTGTTTAACGCGTTTGTCCGAACTCCGGGCTGATGTGGTGAGTCTGTACAAAGTTCTACATGACGCTGTTTTATGAGTTCGTGGTGAGAACTTGAGATTGACAGGGAACATAGATCCTTTCACAATTGGAGGAACGTTGGGAACGTCGGTCTGACCCTTGTCCAGGTCCTTATGAGACGGCGTCTGGACAAAGTCATCAGCAAATCCACACAGCAGCAGAAGTCACATTAATGATGAATATTATAACCACATTATTTAAAAGAATAAATCCACAGGCTTATTTTACTCACATTTATTTATTTTACTCACATTTATTTATTTTACTCACATTTATTTATTTTACTCACATTTATTTATTTTACTCATATTTAGTTGAATTCAGTCTTAAAATATATTCTCTGGCTCTCAATTAAATACATTTCCAAATATTTTGCTTTTATGGCTCTCTGAGTCAAAAAGGTTCCCGACCCCTGATTTAAAGGAACGATTCAGAGCTGTGAGAACATAGAGCTGTGAGAACATAGAGCTGTGAGAACATAGAGCTGTGAGAACATAGAGCTGTGAGAACATAGAGCTGTGAGAACATAGAGCTGTGAGAACATAGAGCTGTGGGAACATAGAGCTGTGAGAACATAGAGCTGTGAGAACATAGAGAACATAGAGCTGTGGGAACATAGAGCTTACACACACACACACACACACACACACATTTCCACATTAAACCTCCAGTGGGACACTTCAGACGATGTGAAAATATTTATTATTTGGAAGTGTTTTTAAATGTGAGTGTGGACACGAGCAAGACCTGAACTGCTCCTGCTTTGGAGACCCCACTGGACCTTCTGAACCCACTGGACCTTCTGAACCCACTGGACCTTCTGAACCCTCTGGACCTTCTGAACCCACTGGACCTTCTGAACCACTGGACCTTCTGAACCCTCTGGACCTTCTGAACCCACTGGACCCTGGACCTTCTGAACCCTCTGGACCTTCTGAACCCTCTGGACCTTCTGAACCCTCTGGACCTTCTGAACCCACTGGACCTTCTCTGGACTCTGAACCCTCTGGAACTGGACCTTCTGAACCTCTGAACCCTTCTGACCCTCTGGACCTTCTGAACCCACTGGACCTTCTGAACCCACTGGACCTTCTGAACCCACTGGACCTTCTGAACCCTCTGGACCTTCTGAACCCTTCTGGACCCTCTGGACCTTCTCCTGGAGCATGTGTCTTTGCTCTAAACAGACTCTTGAGGAGGTCTGTGTGTGAAGAGAGACTGTGATTATCAGTGTGTGTGTGTGTGTGTTTGTGTGTGTGTGTATATGTGTGTGTGTGTGTGTGTGTGTAACGATGGAGTGTGTGTGTGTGTGTGTGTGTGAGAAGTGTGTGTGTGTGTGTGTGTGTGTGTGTGTGTGTGTGTGTGTGTGTGTGTGTGTGTGTGTGTGTGTGTGTGTGTGTGTTGTGTGTGTGTGTGTAATGATGTGTGATGTGTGTGGTGTGTGTGTGTGTGTGTGTGTGTGTGTAATGTGGATGTGTGTGTGTGTTGTGTGTGTGTGTGTTGTGTGTGTGTATGTGTGTGTGTGTGATGGAGTGTGTGTGTGTGTGTGTGTTTGCGATGGCGTCAGGGGTCAGAGGTCGCGACGTTCGGAGTTGAGTGTTTATAGAAACATCTGGCGCAGCTGCAGATGTTTAACACGAGTCTGAGAAATGTGTAATGTTTAAAGAGGAGGACGAGGAGGACGAGGGGGACGAGGGGGGGAGGAGGAGACGAGGGGACGAGGGGACGAGGGACGAGGGGACGAGGGGAGGGGGGACGGACGAGGGGACGACGGGGGGGACGACGAGGGACGAGGGGGACGAGGGGGACGACGAGGGGGACGGGGGACGAGGGGGACGAGGGGACGAGGGGACGAGGGGGACGAGGGGAGGGGAGACGAGGGGACGAGGGGGACGAGGGGGGACGAGGGGGACGAGGAGGGGGGGGACGAGGGGACGAGGGGGACGAGGGGGACGAGGGGGACGAGGGGGACGGAGGGGACGAGGTGGGGACGAGGGGGGACGGGGACGAGGGGGACGAGGGGGACGAGGGGGACGAGGGGGACGTGGGGGACGAGGGGACGAGGGGACGAGGTAAATAGTGTGCGAGTAACAGTGTACACTACAGTACTGCTGGGTCTGTGCCTTTGTGCCTCGGGGCAGTGCACTCTGAGTCAGAGCCGTTTAAAGGAGCTGGATCCTCTCGACTTTTAACGACTCGTTCCAAACTCAAGTCCACCTGTGTCCTCACACAACCTCCTCGTCTCCTCGTCTCCTCGTCTACTCCTGCTCTTCCTTCCTCCTTCTCCTCTTCTGTTTCCTGTGGCGTCCTGCAGAGCGGCGCTGCTCTGATGTGGGCAGACACAGAACAGGAAGTGGGCCGCTGTGGGGGATTGTGGGTAATGTGGTTTTAAAGCCTTTTTCTCTGCTCTTTGATCTGAGGAACATCTGAAGAGTCTGGAAAAGTCACGCACTTGTCAAAAGTCACGCAGCTGTGGACGGAGCTGTGGGCGGAGCTGTGGGCGGAGCTGTGGGTGGAGCTGTGGGCGGAGCTGTGGGTGGAGCTGTGGGTGGAGCTGTGGGTGGAGCTGTGGGTGGAGCTGTGGGCGGAGCTGTGTGGAGCTGTGGGCGGAGCTGTGGGTGGAGCTGTGGGCGGAGCTGTGGAGCTGTGTGGGTGGAGCTGTGGGTGGAGCTGTGGGTGGAGCTGTGGGCGGAGCTGTGGGTGGAGCTGTGTCAGAGATGTTCTTGTGAGATTAATGGAGCGTTTGGGAAATGTCTGATGACACCAAACCACAAGCTCACTCTTTCTCAACATCCACAATCCCACACACAACAATCATGAGTCTGTGGATCTTCTCAAAGTGTCACAGAAATACTGACACAAAGACCAGCAGAACATTCTGAAGGTCCAGCAGAACGTTCAAAGACCAGCAGAATGTTCTGAAGGTCCAGTCACAGGAAGGTCCCAAGGGCAGGTTCAGCTCAGAGCAGGAAATACAAGAGAAACAGAAAAGCTCAAACTAAAGTGTGCTTCACAGGACAAGTCAGATCTGTGTCCAGGCGAGGAGGAACAGTCCTGTAGGGCCTACTCGATATATCGGTCGGGCCGATATGGGCACTTGGAGACATATCGTCGATCGGCCAACATCTTGATCAGGGTCGATAGTTCCCGTGGGCAGGTTCTACCTCATTATGAAGCTCAGACTCTCGATGTTCTGCCCCCTGAACCCAGAGACCTCCAGAGTCACTTTGATATCGACTCCACAGAGCTCGATTTATCGGTGTCATTTCGGTCGAGACCTAGATGCCAGGGGGAGGGGCCGCAGGGTCTTGGTCCTGCTCTTGGTCCTGGTCTTGGTCTTGGTCCTAGTTCTGCTCTTGGTCCTGGTCTGATGGACGTCTCTGTTGCAGGTCGTTTGTGGAGATGGCTCGACGGTCCCTGCTCCTGGTCCAGATCCTGGCCCAGATCCTGGTTCTGACACGGTCCAACGAGGCCCAAAAAACAGGTGAGTGCTGCCTGGGGTCACAGGGGTCATGGGGGTCACTGGGGTCATGGGGGTCATTGGGGTCACCTGGTTCTTTTGCTTCACGTCACATTTCTGCTGTTGGAGGTTGATTCTGAAGTCGGGTTTGTTTGGACTCACTCACGCTGAGGTCACGCTGAGGTCACGCTGAGGTCACGCTGAGGTCACGCTGAGGTCACGCTGAGGTCACGCTTTTAACCAAAACCCTTTCAGCACCTTCACTAACCTCCTCATCCAGCGTTGCTTCTTTCTCGACCAAACCTCACTGAGCTCAGATCTGCTGCCACCAACCCTGGACTCGGCTCGGTCTGACCCGGTCCAACCCGGTCTGATCCGGTCTGACCCGGTCTCTCCCTGGTTCCGGTCCTGGTCCGGCCGGGTGCAGTGTGCAGGCAGGAGGCCGTGGCTGACCTGGTGTTCCTGGTGGACGGTTCTGGGAGCATCGGGAGGCAGAACTTCCAGCAGATTGGTCAGTTCCTGTCGTCTCTGGTGAGCAGCTTCGACGTGCGGCCGGGGCAGGTGCGCGTGGGGCTGGTCCAGTACAGCTACGCGCCGCGGACCGAGTTCTACCTGAACACCTACCCGAGCCGGGAGCTGGTGCTGGACGCCATCCGCCGCGTGCAGTACATGGGCGGGGGCACGTACACCGGGAAGGGGCTGGACTTCCTGCTGAGCGACGCCTTCACGCCGGCGGCCGGCAGCAGAGCCAGTCAGAATGTGCCTCAGATCGCCGTGGTGATCACGGACGGGCAGTCTCGGGACAACGTGACGCAGGAGGCGCGGCGTCTGAAGGAGCGCGGCGTCACGCTGTACGCCATCGGCATCAAAGACCCCGACGAAGAACAGCTCAGAGAAATTGCCCACGATCTGGTTTACAGCGTCTCCGACTTCACGGCGCTCCACGACATCTCCACCAACATCATCCAGACCCTGTGCTCCACCGTCGAGGAGGCCCAGGGAAAGATCATGCAGCTCTCCAAAG